GCGCGAGTGCGTGTAAGGCGCGCGAACGAGGCGCGTACGTAGGGCACGCGCGTGAGAGCGCGTATGACTGATCCTTCAGATAAGAGCTGGAACGTGTAGGGAATTATGTGGGTAATAGGGCCGTATATTCCGCATTGAGAGGCGCGAGTCTCTACAGCGGGAGAACGTGATACAGCATGGTTTGCGGTAGTGAACATAAAACAATGCATTTGTGTGTATGATAATACAGTGTGGTAGTACTGCTAGTGTACAGTTGTATAGAAATGAATGCAGGTGCCAGGACAAGAAGCAGACGAGAATGAAGATGAGCCTGGGCAAGGGAAACAGACAAGCAAGCAAGAGCAGACAACGAGACCAAGACCAAGACCAAGACCGAGCAGGAGAGCAGACGAGGATGAGACCAAGGACAAGTCTGAGAGTCCGAGTCTGCCGAGTCCAAGCAGAAGAACAGACGAGAACAAGTTCGAGAAAGAGCGCTGGCAGATGAGAATGAGACCAAGTGAGAGCAGATGAGAATGAGAACGAGCGAAGGAGACTTGTCGAACAGGATCCTATGGTCCACTAACTGCAAATTCAGCAGTGTTTGTTTTAGCCTGTAGTTGAATTAAAAATATGATATCATCCAAGAGAACAAAAACAAACTCACAGCATCTGCAAGTTTCGAACGAGCAATATAAGGCTCTCTCTGTTGGAGAGTCAGACTATTCCAGTGTGCGTAAACTCTGCAACAGTTCCTGTCTTGTGCTGAGCCTGCCATTCGATACCACAGAGGTTGCGCGCTGTCGTTGACCCCGAACTTGGCTTGAAGACGTTGTTAGGGTTTGTTGGACCTCTTTTTTTTTTGACAGGCTGGGTGAGAACGTCTCCGGTAGATGTAGCAGAGGGAGGTGAAATATGAGGAGATGTGCTACCCTCGAGCGACGCATTATTGAGGGCTGTTGCAAGAAATGCGAGTGTCGAAGAGCTTGGTAGTGGGACAGAATCCAACAATGGTGTGACAGATTTGCCAGAGGGTTGAGCAGAATCTGAGCTGGAGGCTGTACTGACTTGAATGTGCATAGTAGGCTGAGATTGTGGAATTTCGTCTACAGAGTGTGACTCTGGGGACATGTTACTGACAGTGTCTTGTGCGCCAGTGTTGTTGAACATGCTGAGAAACCTAAAAAAAAAACAATGTGAGATTGGTGTCCCAAAATGTGAGTGCGACTCACTTGTAAGGCTGGTGGTGAAGCTGGAACAGGCTTCTTCATAGTGATAGAAGTAGAAATACTTTCTGATGACTCGGATGTTCCATCTGCGAGTAATACCCTTTGTTTCTTGGCACGCTCGCTTTGTAGTACTGTCAGGGATGTCGGACGCTTTGAGGAAGAACTTCTCAAGGCCTCTAGTGCGAGAGAAGGGTCACGAGACTTTTCGCCCTTGATCTTGGTGTCTTTGGATTCAATCTTGACAGCAGTACCTGTGGTTAGCCGATCTACCCAGCCATGATAATACTCCACTGCCATCGCCTCCACCTTCCAGTCACCTTCACATAACTGCAATTCCGGAAACCAAGTGCGCATGCAGCCATAGTAATATAGCTGTGTGATGCTGTCGACTTTGCTCCATGCCACAGGGGCCAGGTTGAATGAAAGAAGTGTGTATCAGATACTGCGTTGGAACGAGCAAATGTCCTTTTGACGAGTTTCAGACAGAACTTTACCATGCTTGTCAACCAGGAACAGAAGAGCTCCTGCCTTCTCGTTTCCCTTGGAGTCAGATTCTACAGATTCAGCATCGTCAGTAGTTCTTGTTGTCTTCCTTTTGTTGGAGCCCCATTTCAAGACACCACGGGACTTGGTCTTTGCAGAATTGAAGTCGGATCGCGTCCAATAGATTGTTCTGATGTCCCGAAAATCTTTGCAATCTAATGGTGTGTATGAGGCAAAGGTGATGGAGATGACATCAGTCAATCCTGAGACCTTCTCGCTGGTACTAATGGGCACAAGGGAACTACGAGTTGTGCCTGTGCTGTGATCAACACAATCTAACAGCTGATTGTAAAGTATTCTTGTTGAATATGTTAGTACCAGAAGCATGACAGCATAAGTATTGCAGCATACGTATGGGTTTCTAATTTTCCATCCAATGTTGCAATGTCATGTTGTAATTGTCGTACTTTGCGTTTATGTGATTTGATTTCTTTCTTGAGGCGCATGTTTTCGGTTTCGACACCATGATGGAGGGTAGATGATATTTGTGGACCGCTGAAGAAGCCACTTAAAGACGAAGTATTCTCATCCTTGCATAACTCAGCCAACTAATGACAACCTTAGAATCAGAAGGTCCATACCATATTCTTGAATGATCCTGACTGTTCACTGCTATCACTGGCAGGCAGCGAATTATCGAGAGATTCTGTTGGGACTGATAGTATGATTGGTTGCGAGGCATCTGAAATTTCATCTTGATCATCAGAATCTGTAGTTGTTGGATGAGGGTGGTTCCCTAGAATGTTGCTCATTGTTGTGCACGATGGACACATGTCGTCCGAGTCATTGATTGGGGAGAAGAATGTTGTTTTGACTTGTTGTAGCACACCTGGTGTGCTGCACTTGCCAACTCCGAGTCACTTCACCTTGCTGACAATCCCCATGTAATTCGAGGCTCTGGCGGATATATTTCAATGTATTACATTTCTTTTTGACCTGACAAGCACGGTGCATCACTCGTCCTCCTGGACCTCCTCCTCGTACCCACCCAGGTCAGCTACATCAAGCCCTGGCTTCTCAACAACAAAGAACCGCTCCTCGTTATTGATTTGATGAGGAACCATGGCCACAACAGCATGAATCGACTTGACATCAATAACTTGTAAGGATGCATCGCCAAGGTGCATGCAAGACACAACTGTGTGATGTGAAGCTTCAAGTAAGGCTAGATCTGGAGCAGAGTATGTTGAAACAAGTGCGAGAGTTGACTCTTCGTCCAAATGAACTTCACATTGAAAATAATATAGCACTTCACCAAAGTGAATTTCTCCGTTGTGCATGAACTAAAAATGATCGTCATGCTCATGTTTTTTTGTGAATCCAATTCCTCACCTTAACATTGCGCGAATGTCGTGCATTAGTTTGATGTCCCTCTTTCCACCGAGAATGAGCAACCTGGCCATTTGGGATTCGCAAACGAGCCCATCGAGAGATATGAATACTTCCATCCATATGAAACATTCCCAGCACAGGTGAGTCAGCACATTGAGATTCAATATACTCTCATATCGCAGGACCCTCATAGTCATGAGTCTTGTAGTGAGAGCGATCCTGTGCTTTGAGAAGTCCATACCCATCCCCAATATCTTTTGACCACTGAGGTGGGATTGGTTTCGAGTCATCGGGATCAATGTCTGGAATGAGTGCCTTGAGAGCATTGATGTGGGCACGTCGAATTGCTCGTTGAGAGAGGTTTGCATAGGGATTCGAGTGCTGGCGTAATTCCTCAGTCAAGTTCCCAATTGTTCGCTCCATTGTCCATTGAGATGCACAAATTAATGGTCCCTTCATTTCAACTTCATAGCCATAATGGCCAATTGTGTGAATGCTCTGTTGAACCATGTGTATGCGATCGACACGGCACTGATAATATATCTCTTCGAAGCCCTTCATGAATCCGATGAAACTAGCGTGTGCAGTGAGCAATTCTTTTCGAGAGATAGAGTGCTGGCTGACAAGTCAGATGCCATGGACCAGGAGACAAAAATTACGCCAGTATCTGTCTGGAAGAATGCCATAGAATAGTGCTGGGCCCAAGCCGAAGAGGTAAAGTGTGAATTCCCAAGCCTTGTATCCGCTGTTGATCTTTTCAGCTGGGTTGCGAGGCGGTCGGTCGAATGATGTGGGGAGATAAGGGGTCGCAGCAGCCACTGCCTTGCCATGCTCCTTCCAAATGTCCCCCTTGAGGACTGCCCAGTCCCATGTTGACACGTCATCGTCATCATCGCAGTCAAAGCACCCACGCTGTAAAGAGTAGATTCTATGTGGGCGCTACAAAAGTGTTACCTTAAGACTCAGAGTGCGAGTGAGATGTTCGTCCCAAAGAGACTGCCTATAGAAATGCTCCTTGATATAAAGCAAGGGATATCTTGTTAAGATCGAGGATGAGAGAAAGGAATGTTACCAAGAGCATGCTCAATGTTCCGAGGATGCATCCGAAGAGGTCCGAAAGTGGTCCGAAGATGGTCCGACGTCAAAAAACAAAGGTCCGAGGTTGCGCGAAGCGTCCAAAGAGCTTCCAATGAACAGCGAAAGTTCCGAGAGAAGTACGACGGTGTGTCGAAGTATAAGACTCGCAAAGTATAACTAAACAAAGCCTATCGAAAGTACTTTGAGACAGCGAGATGCAAAATGGCAGCGGTCAGGCCAAACAATCGTTCCGAATGAACAAAAGGTCGATTGTGCGAAGTACGACTATCCGAAAGTGACTCTACTAACTATGACTCGTAGCAGGGAAAGTGAAGTGAAGTGCCAGTAGCTAGCGAGGCAGATTATATCCTACAGCGTGAAAGTTCGGAAACTGCATAGGCGAAACCAGTAGCGAGATAAGACATCCAAAATGTAATAAGACTCAAGGCGAGCCGCTACAGAGATATGCATGTAATAAGATGCAAGGCGTGTATAACCGACGGGCCGACGACATATGTGCCCCTAGACATAATCAATTACAGATAACCAAGTGAAGAACGCACCAGCGAAGTAAAACGGACACAGATGGGACATGGTACGGAGGATCGGAACTGTATACAAGCCTCAGAAATGGACGGACGACCTTCGGACGACTCGGACGAACGCACGGAACTCTCGGAAGGTAAAATGGAGTGTCAAGGAATGTGTATGTGGAATACCTATGAGTTTGGCAGGATACAAGCCCAATGCTGATCCGAGTGCTACAACGCCAAAGAGGGATGAGAAGATCAGGCAGGTTAAGTGATGCAAGATGCATGATATCGGAACTGAAGCAAAGCACTTGGGCAAACCAAAAATTTGGTGAGAAGGAAACCCAAGGAAAATGCTTGGTTTTGAAATGCCAGTTTTGAGACGTCGTCGTTTGTATTCTGCATCATTTGCAGACTGCAGAACATGTGCAAGATTAGCTACATAAGTTTCTGGTGAGCAGCTACCAAGTTTTGCAGCATCGATGTCAGGGTGATCACATCCGAACATGTTCAAGTCAGGTGGTTTGAGGAGCGCAGGGTAGTAGTGTGGACAGCCAGCCTTGTGACGTCCTTTGAGGCCACAGTAGAGACGACATCCATTTTTGCCATGATGTCCAACAAGACCATTCAGATATGCCAAACCAGGTCCATCCGTGCATCCAAGTACAAGGAACGGAGGAGATTTGTAGAGCTTATTTTGAAAAGCATCCCATATGGCTAGGCCCTCACGCTGAATTGCAGCAAGATGATGGAAGCTAGGGAGCAGAAATGAGTCAAAGCTTTTCGGTTTTTTCAGTCCCAGAATGACCAGGGCTGGCAGGACATTTTTCTTCTTATAGCGTGTCTCTGGGGATCGATCAAGTACCACCCAGATGCCTATCCAACAGTCAGAGCCTTTGTTTTTGTAGAGCTGTGCACCATCAATTGAAAACATCAGCGTGATATCGTCATATTTGATTCGACCATCGTGAACTGCCTGTAAATAATTAGAGCCATCGAATATGTCATGAAAGCCAGGCTTGGTTTCATTCATTTCTTGAAGCTCATCGAAGATCTCTTGAGTTTGACGTTCACAATATCGCATAGCATCTGCACTCTTTGGATCATGATAGAGGGCTTGGAGTTGTGGTCCAACTGGAATGCTCGAGAATTGTTTGCGTGGAACCCAAATTTCGCCATCACTTTCTACAAACTTTACTTCTTCGTAACGACACTTCCCGCACTCAGGACAGTGTGTAAGTCCTGCAAATGGTCCTGTAAATCCAACACACGAATCTATGCACATGTCATGTATGATGGACTCAACTCCAGTGAGCTCAGCAACAACCTGCTTGACTTGGTATAATGTGGGAAACTCGTCAGGTGCACAGCCATGAAGCTCGATGATTATCCTGCGCGTCCTCTTGTATTCTTTGTCTGAAGCTGAATGTGCGAGGTAGAGCTTGACAGCGGCAGTTGTAATGTGATCCTCCCCAAGTGAAGGTGTGAATTGCAGTGGGAACTTGAGCCATGTGATTGCTTCTGCGCTGAGCCCAGAGTCCTCATCATCCAGACTGGCTGTTTGCATCCGCGAGATGAACGCGAGGGAGTGATAAAGATCATCATGTTTCACGTGTGTATAGATGTCCTCCATAAGGACACGTTCATCTGCATCTAGGGGTGCAGGAACACCACTGTCGTTAGGTTGTGGTAGTAGTGGATCTGGGGATGGAGATCATTGTGGTATTACATGTCGAGGAGGTGAGATGGGAGGGTGGACATCTGGTGTTGTGTTGGGAATGTTCCCAAAGTCGTCATAATCAGCTAGATGGTTCTCCTGCAGAATTCGCAAGTTATTGTAGTAAAACTACATACAAGAGCAACAAGATGAACCTCTAGATTAGGATCATCATCCTGCTCATCCTGCTGGACAAGTTGTGGGTCCTGATCCAGAGATAGAGACCTTCAAATATCTGACATGCCACCAGTAGAACGGCCTTGGGAAGCATGCTGCACAGCAGAGCTGGCCATGCCAGCATGTGTTCTTTTCTCCTTGAGAGAACATGTCCCCTTTGTATCAGGACCTCGAAATCCTGCATGTCATCTCCATGTTCCATAAGGTACTTCGCACAGCTGGCCCTTGCATAGTCTCTCGCAATCGCAGTGATATTTTTGGGTGTCGTCTGCAGAGGAGTTGGGTGCTTTGGACATGGTATAGACAAAGGTATGTCTTGCTAACACGAGACGCTGACAGAACGCAGGTCACAGATAAGTTTTGTGACCTGCGCTTTACCTGCGTTCATGTGTTAGAGTAAACAGAGCAAATTGTGATAAAAATGATGAATGACTTTGACAACATAGCGAAACAGAAACAAGTGACATGACAGGAAGGTAAAATCAATGAAATTGGTTTCCTATTTTTTGGAATGAGCATATTTCACGTTGTAGAGACTCATGCCTCTCATTGTGCAATATGGCAGTTTTCACTGGGGAGTACATGGCACGAACTTGTAGCATCACTCTGTGTGCTACCTGCAGCTATCTCTATATGAGGCGCAGCTTTCCCGCGCAACGCGCGCCATGCGCGCGTACCTTTCCCGCGCTTCACGATGTATATGCGCGCGCGCTTTCCCGCGCTGTAGCGCCCTATAGCGCCAGCCATCCAGAAGCATCCATCCACTGTCCACCAAGTTCCCTAGTGCGTATATTTCCATTTCTCACATTTGCATATCGTTCCATCTTTATTTTTATCATGGACCCTTACTTACATATATCTTTACATACCTTACTCGGTAGCGCTTCGGCTCCGCATGACAGCACTTAGGCGCCATACTTAAGCGCCAGCAGTACTCACCCACCGGGACTCACTTACTCTCCCACCAGAACGACAGAGGACTTACTGGTTACTACCCACTATTCACCTAGCAGAACATAGTAGAAATCTATTTGTTTACACCTCGCATCTCTCTTCTCTTGTCTTACATCATACCATCACTTAAGCAAACTCACTCTTACTCTCTCTCATATCTGTATACACGCGCACGCTTTCCCGCGCTTCGCGCCATACACGCGCGCATTCCCGCGCCTTGCGCGCACCTGCGCTTTCTCGCGCTTCGCATTGGCCAACCAGTAGCGCTTTCAGCGCATACCTCTAGATCCTTGCTGCACTCGCTTCCCCTTTAGGGTCGAACGCACTTGTCGTCTCAAGTATAGCAGACTAGGCAACGCGCGACCTTACAACATTTATAGATACAACCAGGAGCATTGTTCGTGCCTCGCTGTATCGTTGAACCTTCAATGTTCTATCACTATCTATCTCGTCTGACCAGGTTTTCGCAAATTATCCTCATGTCTGGCCACTGTCAGCCACGCTCCATCACTTGTAGGTTTTCACTGGGGATGAGACTCAAGTCAGACAGAGACAGGAATGAGCAGGGATCTCAGATGATATTTGAACTGAGGTGTTACAAAGAGTTGGAAAAAATATGGGGTTCAACAGGTTTTGAACTTGTTGCACTGCAATAGAAACAGATT